AACCCCAAAACCCCAAAACCCCTTAAGAAAAATATTTATTGAAATTGAAAAAACTTGATAATATGATTTATAAATTAATAAATTTAAATTATATATTACAATTAAGATGATTAATGATGAATTTGATCAAGACTTGATCAATCCTAGCTGTAAGAATTTTAAGGTTCCAATTGGTTTTAGAATTGAAAGGAGTAATCGATAAGAATAATCAGAACAGATCATTTACAAATATCTCACCTAAAGCTCTTAGCACTTTAAATGACATTAACACAAATTTAGTCAATCAAGGTAAAATACTTCTCATTAAAAAATTGATAGATATGAATATTTCAGGAGAGGCAAATAAAAATGAGAATCTAAAGCTTCAACCAATATTTAAAAACCCTAGAATATTTAGTCCTTATTCATAATATAACACTAATCTCAACAATAATGGAAGCTAATTTAATACAAGAAGATTGATGATGAAGTCACTTCAGCCAAGATAATTAGAAATCCAAGAAAATAACAATCAAATGTATGAAAATCAGAAATAATTACTGAAGAAACAAAAACTTGAAAAAACTTCGTCCTAATTGAAGAAGCTGAATATTATACAGAGAAAAAGAAGACTCCATTCTTAATACTTGAATGAAACTTTCAACTTTTCTACAAATATCACTGGTGGTGTAGTGATATTTTCTCCTAAAGAAATAATAACCTAGTAAAAACCACAACTTACAACTTTATCCAATAATAATAGCTACTCTAGGACTCTAATGAGTCAAAGGTTTTCTAATCAAAATATTATAAATAAAATTAACGAGAAAGTGTCTATGACCAGATTCTCAAACACTTTAAATATGAGGTCTTACGATACCAAATTCAATAATACTGAAATATAAGCTCAAATGGCTTCAAATAGAGAATTAAATAAATAACCTTCTTTAAAAAGAAAAGCTACAAGTATTATAATTTAAGATGATGGACAAAAGTAAAAAGTAGATCCTGAGCTAGCTTAAGTCCTCAAAATAAAATCTCCATAAAACAATCAATCAATCTTATCAAACTTACTAACTAATAATAATGGTAATGAAAATAAAGATCTGAACTTTGAACTTGATGATTAGTGTATCAAAAATAATGCATTTAATGTGGTTATTAAAAGCCCATCAATATTATCTGGAGAAAACATTAATCAACAGTACTATTAAGTTTTATCCCCAAGAGAGTACAATAGAACTCAATATTATAAAAATGGTGATGAAATTAATAGTAATTCTAGACTGCTAAATTAAGGGGAAAGACTTAAGAATAGAAGAGAGAGTTAACAGAGTTAGTTAGACAATTCAGAATTCCATAAAGGTATATTCAAGGAGTTTTAGTCGATTAAAGAATATTTTCATAAATTTGAAGCTGTAAAGCAAAAGTTTGACGTATAAGACATGAATAGCCTCAGAAATATCAATTCTTTAGAATTCTTCATCTTACATCGACTTTTTCCAAGAATTTATTCAGTTAAAATTGAAAATAAGCAATTTCAAGAAATAGACTTCAATCCCTCAGTAATGTCACAACTTGAAATATTCTTGGTAAAATCAGAAGTTTACATGCATACAGAGAAATGGGATAAAGCCTAATTTTTCATGTAATAAGGATTAAAAGTATGGGGAGAAGATCATAGTTTTGAATTCAGTTATAATTAAGGATTACTATGTTATCTTACTGGTGACTTTAATAAATCAATCGAGATCTACGCTAATTTATTCGGAAAAATTGTTAATAATTAGGATGAAAAGCATAGATTGAATGGAGTGCTTTTTAACTATATAATGTGCTTACTCCGAGTTGGAAGATATGATTAAGTATTAGACATATGCAAATAATGTAAATTGAAGAAAGTTAGAATGACACTCGACCCAGGTGAAATTTAGATTCAAAAACTCATAATGTTTGCTGAGTAACACATAAATAGAGGTATAGCTAGAGATATAATTAAAGAATTGGATTCGATGCAAAGTTCAAGTAAACACTGTGTTTAGAGTGCATAAACTCTAAATGAAATGAAGTCTGAAGACAATTAATTTGAAACAAATAAATAAGATAATAATTAGGATTAAGGACAAGATTTTAGAAAAATAAACTTTTAAAGATTTCATAAACATAGCAGAGCTAAATCGAAAGGAAGATCAAGCTCCCTTAAAAAGAATTTAAACTTTACATAATAAATAGTAAAAAGTAAAACTAGGAACTAAACAATTAATATAGAAAATACAGAAGATTAGGCAAAATTGAACAAGTCTAATATAGAATCAAAAGTCATTAATAAAGCAAGGTTTGATATTCACAAGATAAATGATACAACTTCCCCAAATTACATAATGTCAATGAAAGAAATTATAAATAAACTATAAATCAAAGGCGGTATTGAGCATAACAAGCACTTGCAATACTAACTTAAGAATTTAGATAGTCTACTCTCAGAGAACTCAAATGCAAAGAAAAGGCAAAATAAAAACGGTAAGGGCAAAGACAGAGACATAATTGCATTCCCTTTCTAAAAATCTCCAAATATGGCCACAAATCCTTATAATGAAGAAGAAGAAGATTTAAATAAATTCAACTTAGCTGATTAATGCTTGAGAAATCTGGAAGAGCTGGAGTTAGATTTAGCTATGAGCAATGGTGCTAATAATATGAAAAAGCATGATCCTATTTTACAACACTACAAAACACTTTGCCATTCAATTTACAATCTTTGCTAAGAGGAAGGATTATTCCAAATACTTTAATAAGCAGCAGATGAGAGAAAAAATAAAAAATTGTCAATAAAAAGAAAAGCACTTTACCCAGGAGCAAAAACAGATGAAATAAAGAAATATTCAGTTGCTAAGGATATTTTAGTAAGTTCATTGTTAAAAAAGAAAAAAGGATATATCTCACTAAGTGCTTAAAACAACCAATAATTAGTCGAAATAGAAGTATTATAAAGTAAGGTCCTTTAATTAAAAGAAGTTCTTAAAGAGGAAATAGATGATATACTAGGCAAGAATAAGTCAATGGAGTATATAGATTAAGCAGCAAATGAAATTAATAAAATGCTAGCTATTGCTAGGAAAAAGCAAAAGGAGAGAGAAAAGTATCAAAGTTAGGATTTTGATGATAACCTAACTCCCATCAAGGTACCAGGCTAACTCGAGATTATTAAAGAGCCGACTTTAGAAGAATTATTAAAAACTAAGACCCTTTAATATATTCTTAAAAAGTAAAAATATCAAGAAGAGATAGCTAGAAGGTTTAAAGTAGACAGACAAAAATACATGCTATCACTAGTAAAATCTCACTCAAATAATTAGGAGGAAAGAGAAACTACAAGTTCTGCTTAAACTATGATGCGAAACTATACCTAAACATAGAGAGGTGAGATTGATGCTTTTGTTTCTAAATCTACCAATTTTCTTGAACATCTCTTTGATAACTACGGAGCATATTTTATTGCGTAGAAGACATACTGTATGAGTGAATTTCTAGAGTTAGCTCCTCTTGAAATGAAGCAATACTTTGATAATGTATCATCTGTTTTAAGCACCATTCCAATGAGATTTGATATACTAACTGACTCGAACATTGATGACAGCCACTATTAAAGCCTTGAAAATTCTGAATTCATTTATAATAGGTACGATCTAATCTATAGATTTGTTTCTTAAAGTTTAAGACAGCAAAGATATGTGGACTATCTAGGTCTAGAAAAGCACGATTGGATTATTGAAGTTATTTAGAAATTTAACATGATTACGATATTGAATTTTATAATGAGAGAGTCTCTTGGCCTCTACTAATAGAAGCCCAAGATAAATCAAAAACAAAATTAGGATGGTATGTAAACGATAGAGTCATAAACATTTAACAAGGTTACATTTAAATCAGTTTTTAATGACTAAAGTCTTTAAATTTTGAGGGAGTAGTTTGCTAAGCTAAAACATCAAAATTATATAAACTTAGAATTAGTAGATAAATTTTTGGGCACTAAAATAGAGTTCTTTTCGTAATTTATAAAAATCATTAGGACTTAGCTTTATATTCTTTGTAGCTATAAAACAATTAAGAATCAAACAGAGGTTGAATTTAACTAATTGTCTCATGAACAAATAATAGTTCTCCTTAATGGAGTCTTGATAGTTTAAATTAAGAGAACTGATGAATCTTAGTGGGAAAACTATTAATACCTGAACCCAGGAACTACAATTCCAATTTAATTCTTATACTACATGAGACTAAAGAATTCAGGAATAAGGCTATTCATTGAAAAATCTTTGAGACTTTCCTAAGACTAAGAAGATATAGAATATTTGGAGATTAATAAACAATAACTAAGCTAGGTAGTTTTTGGATCAATCAAAAACACATTAATTAAGAAGATTCAACTAATGCAAAACGTTGATCTACTTGGAGGAGTAACTGGTCAAGTAGAAAAAAATGAACTTGTCAGTCCATATTCAATATTTGTTCTAGCATCTGTTTGCAAAGTTTAGATCTTCAAATTCTCAGAGGTCATATGTAGATAAAATGAATTACCGAAGGGTATGTATATATTCTTAGAAGGTTAAGGTAAAGCTGTATTTGAAGATATGCTTTAAAGAAAAGGTGATGTGTCATAATTCTTTAGAAAATCGATGAGATCAAATATTCCTCAGACATTAAGATTTGGGAATTAAGATTTTAGACAGAAAAATGAGCAAGATAAAAATTTAAAGATATCTCCTATTGAAGATCCTTTATCAAACAATTAGAGGCATGAAAATTAAAATTTTGTAAATCAAGATAATCTGAATTTAAGCAACAATAATCAAAGCTAATATCTTACTCCTGATTATTCGATGAAATTTAGTCCAATAAAACAAGATTATCTAAATGTCAGACATAAATCACCTGCCACTGGAAAGGACTTTAGCATTACATTTTAAAATTTAGTTCTGAATGAGAAATGGACTGAACATCAAAAGACTAATCAAATCTCTTACAAACATCATATCGTATTTGAAAAATTATAAGAAGGCTCATACTTTGGCTCAAGAATAGTTTTAGACGAAGCAGTTGCTAAAAACTTCATTAAAAATAACTAAAGCTAGCTTAGGAAATGGTGCTAATTGCCAAATCAAAGGTAAATGCAAGCTGCAACTTCAAGAAGGTCTTATGATAACTTTGACGAAGGGGAAGCAAATGAGTCAAAGATTGATTAGTTCAGTGATGATAGTGGAATATTTTCCTCTAAAATGTATCAATCAAAAGATATGAGACAACAGAATTATTATGAAAAATTAGATGACAATGACTATATCATTATGAAGAATTATCTATTAAGAAGTTAGTTAACCATTGTTGCAACATCTAGCTTAGTAAAAATTATCATAATTTAAAGAGGTGACAAAAGCTACTTCAATGAAACAACTAAAAAGATTATCGAAGAAAGAATTTAAGAGAAAGAGTATCTTGATGTTGATAGACCAATAAAGAAACTAAAAGATCTCGAAAAAATCAGGGAAAAAGAGAAAGATTGGGATAAATACAAGAGAAACTACGAGGAGTAGTGCATTCAAGATTCGTTCCACAAAAGATTTGACAAATAACTATTCAAATGATCTAAACTTTATTTCATAATTCAAATCAGAAAATAACTTTGACTTTAGGGGGTTTTGGGGTTTTGGGG